TTCAATATTGATTTTGTCTCACCCTGTATAACTTTTTGAATTAAGTTTTAATTTCATTTAAAGTATAATAGTTAATTTAACTACATATTAGGCTATACCGGGTAAATTCCAATTTAGGTAGCTTTTATTGTAATTTAAAAATTGTTCTTTATTTCTAGATGATGTTAGATATGTAAAAAACCTTACATTTTAGTCATATACTTCTCTTATTAAACTCACCTTTATTTTTCTCCCAAAATTCGAAAATCGCTTAATATATAGGGCGTTCCATTACAAAAAACACAGCTTTGATATGTCCCTTTTTTTGGGGACACCCCTAGAACTCTCTATATTTTTAAAAAGTGTTCCGCATTAATCTACATAATAATATGCTCACAAAATTTCATTTCAATACAAACTGTCGTTCTCCTTGAAGCCTCCGTGGCGTATGAGAGGCGCCACCCTGTACAATCTGTATATTCTATTTTTTCTCTTAAAGATAAAGTTATGATGATTTATCAAGATATTTTGTTTTACCTGATCTTCTATTGACTGACCAATGTTGAACATTTCGAATGTAATCATAAGTACTACAGAGCATACTGATGCTACAAGAGCAAGTCCTTTGTACTAAAATTAGAAAAAAATAAAGAAATTGTTTGTTTTCAGCAATATTGCAGACCGGCGAGAGAGAGAGAGAGAGAGAGAGTTTTGAATATACTTTGAATACTTACACGCTCAAATTTGTCAGCGCACATATAAATGCCCGGAACTGTAGTTACGCCTAGAAGCAGTAATGAGCCACCAAAATACCTAATACCATAATTTGCACAAAATATGTCTGTATAACTGAAAAAAGAAATATTCAAGGACTAAATATAAATTTAATAATTCATGTTTTACTTCATCAATTCTGCATGTCGTTTATATATAATACGAAGTTCATAATATACTGTATTTTGGTATTCCTCCGTAGTTATAAGATCATTATTGTATTTTAATATGTAGTTATTTTCCATGAAATCGGCTAACAAATGTATCTGAAAGAAACAAAATATATGCAGATTATCCCATTTTCGTGTATTTTAAGGGTATCTCGTTTATGAGTAGATATACAAACATGTGGTTTTTCATCATTGTGCTATTGGATTCTACGTGAAAATTTCTACGGTACCCAGTTTTCACCTTTTCGATAAGTTATAAAATAACCAATATACAAAAGGAGCGAAAGTCAGCATTTTAAAATTCGCCCTGTATTTCAGAAACTAAGAAGACTAGGACAAATATACAGGGTGTCATTGAAATGGTGTAAAAAAATCGGGGTGATAGTACTCCTAAAAATAGTAAAAAAAGTTCCTATAAGAATAGGGCGGAAAATGCATATTAAGGGAGTTAGGGGCACTGAAAGGGTGAATTAAAAAGACGGTTGTTTTGAAATTGTAGGCTTAAAAAACGAGATAAAATTTCGAAAAAAAATGCTTTGCCATAAATTTTGACCCTAAATCAAATGGTGATACTGAAAAATTATTTGGAAAAGCGGAAAGGGTAGTTTTTGCAAGGGAAGGGGGTTGTCGCCTTTGTGGATTATGAGAAGGCTTTCGACTCTAAAGAGCTACAAGCCATCCTCGATGCCCTACAAAATGCCAGAATAGACTACAGATACTCGGGCATAATATCATCTATTTACAAATCAGCTACAATGACTATCAAACTGGATGACATAAATATCACAAATAAAATTAAAATGGAAAGAGGAGTCCGATAGGGAGATACTATTTCCCCCAAACTTTTTACACTGGCCCTGGAGGACGTATTTAAGAAGCTGAATTGGGACAAGAAGGGTATTAGGGTAGATGGTGGCATGCTTAACCACTTGCGCTTCGCTGATGATGTCGTTGTCTTGGCCTCATCGTTGGAAGAACTTCAAACAATGCTCGAACAACTTCACCACACATCTGCGCAAGTAGGTTTAAAAATGAATTTGTCTAAAACTAAAACCCTAAATGAAAATGAAGAGCAAGTTATTGTTAATGGACAAAGGATTGAAAAACGTTAAAGAGTATATATATCTAGGTTATGCCATAAAACTCGGCAAGGAAAATCAAACAACCGAAATTTCTAGAAGGATTAAACTCGGATGGGCAGCTTTTGGTAAACTTAACTTTATATTCAAAAGCAAAATCCCAAATAGCCTAAAAAGAGACGTTTACAACAAATGCGTCTTGCCTTTCATGACCTATGGTTTTGAGACTATGACGATGACGGCACGAAGTGTGAACAGGTTGCGAGTGAGCCAAAGAGCTATGGAAAGAGCCATGATGGGTATCAGTTTTCGCGACCACATTAGAAATGAAGACATTCGCCGACAGACGAGGATAACGGACATCGTAGAGAGGATAGCTAACTCTAAATGGTCTTGGGCAGGACACTTGGCCAGACAGTCCGAGGAAAGATGGGCAAAAAGACTTCTTTGCTGGAGGCCACGCCTAGCAAAATGCCCAGTCGGCCGACCTCCTAAAAGATGGACTGATGATATCCAATCCGTAGCCGGTAAGAACTGGATGAGGAGGGCACAGAATCGAAACGAGTGGAAGAAACTGAGAGAGGCCTACATTCTGCAGTGGATGAGTAATGGCTGAGAAGAGAAGAGAGGGGGTTGTTTTGTGAATAACTTTTTTTAGGTTATTTTCTTTGCAACGCGGGTTTATTTTTTGAAAACTACATATTTTTTCCTACAAAAAAGGCACTCTTGTTGCACATCGCCCAGAGTGATGGTTTTCGAGAAAATTGAAGGCAAAGAGTTTGCTCTGATGGGAGCTAACTCAACATAAACATATGAAACTTTTCTGACAAAATTATAATTAGTTTTGAAAAGTTGTAAGAGACCTTTTTTTGTAGAGCGCTCAATTCAGTACAAGAATGTGGAAATTCTTATCTACGAGAGAACAAGATCGAGATAAAAAAAATATTTGTAAAAAGTGGCAAATTCTCATGTAATTTTAATGGGAAATGAATCGTCTTTGGGGCAAGGTTTATTGTGATTATTAAGGGTTTACAATGGTCTGTTATTATTGTCAAGACTTAAATATAGGCCAACCTGGGTTTACATCAAATTGGGAAAAATCATGTAAAATATAATTCTAGTAAACCAATTTGATGTAGATTCAAGGGAATCGTTCGCGTATACGTCGACCTGAATATGTTCTTATAATAAACATTGTTAATTAAACAATTAAAATCAGGTCGATGTAAGCGTGATGTTTCAGGGCTAGCTCGTACTAAATATCGGTGCTGGAAATATACAAAGGAGATTTTTGAGCACGTACCCGCCGATAATTGGGACGAGCGGAAAAATATAAGATAGTGTGCTGAAGACAGGGGAGTAAGTTAGTCCATCGATGTGAGTCGTATTATACAGTTAGTAATTCGCGTCATCAGTCCGTTAGCAGAAGACAGCGCAGACTGAAGATGTTCCTGTAAGTACTTAGTTAACTAAACCATTAAGTCTTGGCATTCCCCAAACTTGTATTATACTGTGAACTCTATGTTAAATAAATGTGTATTTTGTTCAATGGTTGTTTTGATTGAGAGAGAGAACCTGGTATAGCGACCCTAGCAAACAACCCCCAGCTAGGTCGCGACATATGGTGGAGGCGCCGGTCTCTTTTTTAATCAAAGCAACCTTTTTGAATGCAAAATTTTAATTACTTTCTTTAACACCACGACATGTGTTGGAGGCGCCAGTCTCTTTTTTAGTCAAAGTAGCTTTTTTTAATGCAAATTACGGGTAAACCCCACACACCTCCGCAACATGTAGTAGAGGCAAAGTTCTTTTATTTTGTTTAATTCAAATATATATATATTTTTTTTTCAATACTTCCCCACAATCAAGACATGTGGTGGAAATGTCGTTTTTATCTGCTGCAAAACAGCCCTTTTAAAGTAAATTTTTTTAATTAATTATTTTTATATTTTTCGCCACCACAACATGTGATGAAGGCATGTATTTTATTTTTTTATATTTTGGGAATGCCAAGAATGTCCTAGTTTTAACTTATTGAATTGATTTAAATATATTTAGTTTTTTGCTTTTTAACATAGTTTCTTTATTTTGATTAATATTATCCAATATGCAATTTTCGTCAAATTTAAATTTTTGCATATCAATTTTGTTGTCCGATTTTTGTTTTCGTAAAATATACGAAATGATTTTAAATTTTAGTATATTTAAGTTGATAAATATTTAAATAACCTATATCTACTATTATAGTATGAATATTTTATTTTATAGTTTTTATTAAGTATCACATAATAATTTAATACCCTATATATTATTTGAATATTATTTATTACATTTATTTATAAAGTCAAGTGCTGGAAAATGTTGACGACTGTAGTTTTCACCCTGACCTACACATCATGTTTTATTTTGAAATATGAGTACATTCTCATCCACATTTGTTTATTATTTTTCTAACGTTCAAATTTCATTCAAATGCCAATGGCTTTGTCTATATTTAAATATTTCTTGATATATTTCAATGTCATAAACTCTCTAACTAATTATTTTTAAACAAGCTAAACTTTTTATTTTAAAATTTTTCATGATGGAATTTCAAAGACTTCCAGTTCTGCCTAAATTTGTTGAACCCCCTACATTTGACCCTAGGTACGATTGCCCAGTGTCTTTTATTTCAGAATATGATAAAATTACTGATAGAAATGGTTGGGATTGTGCATATAAAATTCGATATTTGCAGTGTTACCTGAAACACGCATCTGTCTTTTGGTTTCAAAAATACGCGAAAAATAAAGATAATCTTCAGAAAACTTGGCCGGATCTAAAAAAAGATTTCATTTTAAATTTTGGCGGTGATATAGCAATAAGAAAACTAAAATACAAATTGCGCTCACGTAAGCAGGATGCAAACGAGGACATTAAACATTATTATTTTGACTTACTTTCAATGTTTCAAGAAATATATTATGAAATTAATTTTCAGCGTTCATCAGTTCAGAGACTATTTTGAGAATGGTTTGCATCCATCTTATGACAAATATTATTATATGTTGTCAAGCCGTGATATGGATTTTACCACGTTAAAAAGTATTATTTTCAAGTTGAGTGATCTAAAAGACAGAAGTTCAGATTGTAACACGTTGGCACGTTCGTCCCGCTTCTACGAAGGTAGTACAAATTTAAATAATTCAGCTAGTAAAAATAATTATAAACATAATGATTACTATAATTATAATTCAGACGATTTAAAAAGGAATAAAAGACAGGTAGAGCATGACTCTTCGTACAATGGTCATAGGGTTGAAGATATTGATAATGTAAGAGGCAAATCAGGACATGAGAATAAAAAATGCTATGGCATGAATATTAGCTATGATAATCAGTATAAAACAGTTAATGCTAGCTATAGGTATAACAATACAGACGAATATAATTTTAATACGAATTATGAGAGAAGACAACAAAAGTTGATTGAAGATAACCGGACAAAGAGTTTCGAACAAAACCCACCCTTAGTTGAGGACTACCAGAGCAGGATTTTTGAACAAAACCCACCCCTGTTTGAGAGACAAACAGCTGATATGCATGGTATATTTATTGTGTCAGAGGAGCATGAGATAGAGGAGAATAGTGTGAATATTTTGGAAGAGGACGATTTGGATTCCCTCAATTTAGAAAGTGCACGGATAGAGGAATATTGTGATGCCCTCCCCGTGGCAATGGGATACGCACAGGCAGAGGAAGTGAATGATACCCTCCCTGTAGCAATAGAGTTCGCACAGGTAGAGGAAGATGATGCCCTCCCTGTTGCAAGTGAAGTTATGCCGGCTGAGGATGAGTGGAATACCCTCCCTGGCAATGTCGAGGAAGATGAAATAGAAAAATGGAATCCTTTCTTTCTCGAAGAAGAGAAATGCAACTCCTCAAGTGTACCAATGTTTTGTTTTAACAATGTGGAAGATAAAGATATACCTCCGACACAAGAAGTTACGCATATAAGAAGCAAAAGTATACGTCTATTAGACAACCCTTGTTGGAACCGACAGTTTGACTATTTTGATCGTAAAACAAACGTTCCAAGAGAAGAAACTCGTAATGAATTTAGACCCCAGCAAGTCATTTCTTGCACAACTAGGACACTGGATATGATGACCAAAAGGCCAAACGCCAAGATGGCGAAGGATATCATTATCCACCCTAGCCACCCTCCCTGGACTCGATGCTTATGAGTCATATTTAGAGTTGAAATTAGAATCAAGAAACGCATGATTGTATAAAGGACCTGATAAAGACTATTTAATTAACTTAGTATTTATTTTTTTGACTTTTAGTTGTAAGACTTATTTCTTAGACTTATCTTAGACTGGCAGAAACTAATTTATTTTTGAGTATTTTTAGGTGACATTTATTTCCTAACATTGAGCAAAAATAAGGATAAGAAAAAAGAAGGAAAAAAAATACTTTCAAGGTAAGCTGAGGTAAAGTATACTCAAACCTACTACATTTACAGCTCCTGGGGAAAGATTGTGTAGCTATGTTGGTCTTAAAGAACTGCTCGGATGATATTTTGTTAGTTGATTTGTTGTTATTTTTATTCCTAGTATCAACGTCACGTGACTATTTTGGCCTAGGATGCCCATTATTTTTTTTAAAAAGCCGTGATTGTTTTAGAGGTACTAGTTGAATTTGATTATTTTTTTCCCGAGTCAGAAACAATATTATTTATAATTTATGTTACTAATAAAAAAGAAAAATAAACTGCGATAGTTTTGTCAATATGTATGTATGTTGTTCTGTTTTGTAGACTGTTTATTGTATATGTTTCGATGTTGACAAAACATGTTATTAGAAGCCACGCGACTTTTCCCAAACAATCTTTCATCACTTAGGAGATAAAGGACATGTAATGTAGTAGACGGAATAAAGAAAAGCCAAATAGTTAATGATTTTTTTTTCTTTCAAGAAAGAATTTGATGAATTTCGCCATATATATATATTTTTTTTTCCTTCGTCCTAAATGAAAAGAAAATGTAAACGTTATAATAAATACTTACTTTTCTAATTTTGCTGAAGTACAAATAGTTGGAGGCTATTTTTAAATATAAATAATAATACAAAGTGCTTAGCTGGACTAATTAAATAGTAATAAGTAAAGTCATATTTTAAATCTTTATTTTTTATATAAATATAAGGAACCTAAGCAAATAATTAAAACTATCAATTTTTAATTTTTTTTAAGCAAATGCATTTTCGAAAAATATTTAAGATAAAATAAACTGTAGATATTTCACAGGTAACTAAGAAGAATAGTTTTATTAACGTAATTGTTATTCTGTTTTAGATATTAAAGATAGGAATAAAATATAGTACTTACTCTTTAATTTCTCATGAATTTTGTATCACACCTGCCGATACCACAATCAACACTAAGAAGTCGAAGGAAGAAATGAGTTGCTGTCTGGAAACACGTACCAACCACACCAGTGAGATGAAACTTTCCAGCATCACAAGCTCTGTTCAGTTGAGCAAATGTTAAACACGCCGCTCGCCTTTTTGCCTCGAATTCTAATGGATTGGAGATGTATGGAATTTTTTGGATACGGATATGGAAGCAATAACCAGCCTGGAGAAAAAACTAATTTGGTTGGTTGAAGTAACAAGCCACTGAACCCATAATACCGCAGAGAAGCCAGAAAACCAAGAAATATTAACAAGTAAATTTTGTTTGGCTCGAATGAAAACAGTACACTAATGAAGTAAAGAAAAAATAATTGTCCAGTATTCCGCTGATCCCAGCAATTTCAAAAGGCCGTCGCCCGTTTGACATTGAAACCAAGCGCACGGACGAACAGAAGTATACAATGAATAAGAAGGCAACCAGTCAAACAAAGGCAAAGGCAGTGCTGGCGTGTGCATTGCTTGACTGATATGAGCTAGGGTTAAAGCTTGAAGCTTATGGTATTGTTGAAACGGACGCAACGCACCAGGATGCCAGGAGACATATTTTCAGTACGGGTGGTATCGCGTAGGACCTTTTGTTTGTACGGGATTAAAGAGTAAATGATAAAAATATATATTTTTTATTTTGATGAGTCGCAAGAAAATCTTAAATTAAAGCTTAATAGCACATGATTTTTTTTTTTTTATCGCTGGGGACCAGCTCTCCAAGCCCGGGGGATATGTCAAGACTTAAATATAGGCCAATTCTGGGTTTACATCAAATTGGGAAAAATCATGTAAAATATAATTTAGTAAAACCAATTTTGATGTAGATTCAAGGGAATCGTTCGCGTATACGTCGACCTGAATATGTTCTTATAATAAACATTGTTAATTAAACAATTAAAATCAGGTCGATGTAAGTGATATTTCAGGGCTAGCTCGTACTAAATATCGGTGCTGGAAATATACAAAGGAGATTTTTGAGCACGTACCCGCCGATAATTGGGACGAGCGGAAAAATATAAAATAGTGTGCTGAAGACAGGGTAGGAGTTAGTCCATCGATGTGAGCCGTATTATACAGTTAGTAATCCGCGTCATCAGTCGGTTAGCAGAAGACAGCGCAGACTGAAGATGTTCCTGTAAGTACTTAGTTAATCAAACCATTAAGTCTTGGCATTCCCCAAACTTGTATTATACTGTGAACTCTATGTTAAATAAATGTGTATTTTGTTCAATGGTTGTTTTGATTGAGAGGGAGAACCTGGTATAGCGACCCTAGCAAACAACCCCCAGCTAGGTCGCGACATTATTTTAGATAATAATCTAAAAATTTAGAGGGCGTCGTGAGATAAATGATCAAATTAGTAAATAACGGACACCCTAGTATCTCTACTCATAAACGAGAAACCCTGTAAAACACATAACAATGGAAGGCCATGTACATCTACACATACTTGGCGTATAAAATTCATCACGAAGAAATCGAATAACAGAAATGTTAGTAGCCATATTATTATGCCTGATTATTGACCCCAGACGCAATGGTAATAGAAACACAGCCAGTAATATGAAGGATAGTTTGCATGTATGTACCAAATTATAGCAGCAGACTCTTCACCCACTAAAAACAATCCTGTTAAATAAATCTGAAGAAACAACATGTTAAAAATACATTTTCAAAAGAACTTTTTAATACGAAAAAGTCCACCCTTCTTAACTGAGCTATAATATAACCATAGTAGAAGGAAAAGAGTAGTTGCACTCTCCCAAATATTTTCTGCCAGTTTTTACAATCTGTCGAATATCGGCAGATTGCAGAGCGTTTCAATTGAGTTCCGTGATAAATTCCGATTGATAAAAAATGAGTGCCTTACGGTGTGCTGCTATTGGTTGTAGTAATAATTCAAAAAATTGTGCTTTGGTTTTTTTTTGAGAGTCATTTGTGATCATGTTTGTGTTCAGCTTAATTTTCTCATGACTGATTAACTACTTAATAATTTGATATATTTTCATTTAAACCTCAATTTTTTATCGATTTTACTTTTGATAACTATCCCTTGCTTGCTGTTTAACGAACTGCACCATTATTGTACAAAAATTTGCTAGTACCGAAAAACAACTGGAAATCCCAGTTCCTTAGAGGCATTATGGGACCGAAATTACCGGTTCCGAAAAACAGCTCCGGTTCCGGACATGCTATAACGTACCATAACCGTGAATCGCTCTATACAGGGTGAGCCTTAATTAAGTGCAAATATTTTTAGGGGTAATATATTTTGGCCCCAGAAATATCAGGAATTTTCACTTATAATATCACAAGAGCTTAATTCATTTTCGAAGCCTTTGAGGGCATCGAATTTTGAAAATTATCCCGAGCTCGAAGACGAGGGATAATTTTCCTAAAAAATACATGCCGGAAAGAAAATTTCCAGGAATAATTCTAAGCTGGTGGTATTCGGTAAGAAAATTTCACACCTAAATTTGAAAAAAATATTAATCCAACATGACATTTTAAAATAATTTCAATTTGTTGTTGAAGCCAAGGTATTGATGTTTTTGGACAATAATTTCAATTTGTTAAGTTGGCCAAGGTATTGATGTTTTTGACATATTATGTGTTTTGTCATTTTTTGTTTGCGATTCTGTCATTAAGCTTGGTTACTAGTTTTAAAAACGTCTGTACGTAGAGTAAGAAGTGTATAGCGAAATGTCGCGATTTGGAAAAGTAAACCAACAAGTCATTAAAGAAGAAATTGAAAATATAAAACCAGATAACACCCGAAAATCAAAATCAAGTGTATATCCATCATATTTCGTTAAATAGAAAAATACCAGCTTTAGTTAAATAAAGGCGGCAGAACTATATTTTTTAGAACATGGCAGTATTTCGAAAGAAATTCATATGGTGGGGTATATCTAACATATTTCCTTTAAATAAAAAATATTACTCTAACCTTAGTTACATCAAATGCTAAAACCAAATGGGTAATATTTCAATATATAGACATTGTAGTTCATTCACATTATGATTGTAGATCTTATGTTTACCTTTTCAACTGTCAAAAAAATTCACACTAAAGTTTCAGGGCGCCTCGAAAAATTTCCGGAAATTTTTTCAGTTGCCATGGTAACTAGTCAACATTAAAGCATGTTATTGGTTGAAAAGTAGAGGTGTGAAATTTTCTGCGCAATTTTTTTTTGAAAAAAAAATCTGGAAATTTTTTTAGTTTTTATTTAAAAAACAGAATTTCTTGAAAATATGGTAACTAGGGTTCAGAACCGGAAATTCCCGGTTCTTTTGAGATATCAAAGAACCGGGACTAGAATTTCGGTTCTTTTGGTACCTTCGATTCGGTAACAATAACTAAACAATTATTCTTTTATTACGTGAGAAAGTACTGATGCTATTTCTCATTGTTCTTGCTTCTTTTGAAATTTCTGTAATGTTTATTAGTAATTTATTGAAGTTATTTTATTATTTTTTAGTACAATGTGTTGTTCAATGTATTAGTTATCCAATGAAAATCACCTAAACAATATATTACTACAAAACAAACACATTAATGTTAAAATTAAACTTGTTTTAAATTAAAAAAAAGTTGTAGAAAATCTTTGAAATAGATATGTAATAATATAAAAATATGTCATTATATATTTTTCCGCATTTCTTCCCATCAGAATATTTTCAGATACAGAAGAATAATTGTTACTTACACGAAATGTGAAAATATTCTGTTTTCAAGCAAATTTTTACTCGGTGATCATTTTTTTTATTTGATTTTATTGTGACCTCATATTTTCCTAAATACATCTCTGTGAAACTATGGCGAGTGCCACGACATGCTTTGCCTAGTTATAGT